TAGTTCGGCCGAACAAGCTCGCGATTTACGGCGGATATTTTTTGCGGTTTTGTGCTTAACTCGGATGATCGTGTAATCGACGTTTGTTTCGTTCTTCCGAGATAACGATTTCCGAGTTTTCCGCGGATTTCCTTTGTTTATAAAACGATTTCTCGAGTTTTATAAAACGACTTCTCGAGTTTTATAAAATGACTTATCGAGTTTTATAAAACGACTTCTCGATTTTTATAAAACGACTTATCGAGTTTAATAAAACGACTTATCGAGTTTTATAAAACGACTTCTCGAGTTTTATAAAACGCCTTCTCGAGTTTTATAAAACGCCTTCTCGATTTTTATAAAACGACTTATCGAGTTTTATAAAACGACTTATCGAGTTTTATAAAACGACTTATCGAGTTTTATAAAACGACTTCTCGAGTTTTATAAAACAACTGATTGAGTTTTATAAAACGTATTTTTATTTTTACGGAAACTTTAAGCCATTGATTCCGTCGTGACCGATTTTGACACCAACAGTTAGCCCCCAGCTCGCTAGAACCTCGAGCATCTTGCGTTAGGTTCTTGCGAGTGGTTAGCCAGTTTTAGGTGAGTTAGGCGGAATTAATGGTTGGAAAGGTCCGTTGAAAGTAATCTTTCCACTCTCCAGGGAACGGAAAGCGTTTAAGATTAGGGCAGCGCCTTTTGAAGGCTGCCTACGTACCCTATTGAAGGGATCAAGCCTTTCGTAGTTCGTTTTGGAGTTAAGGTTCGTATGACATGTTTCCTAGCAAGACCTTTACGGTCTGGTTATGTGTATTGGACCTTTTCCAGCCTTGAGACTAGCCTCGTGGGCTGTTTGCTATGGCCGAGTGTGGCTGTTATAGTTTTCGGACTGGCCGTGTGCGGCTCTGAGTCCCTGCCGCTTTTGCGGCTTTATTAAAAATCAGTTTGCGTTTTTAATAGCGTGTTTTAATTCGTATGAATGTAGAGGGAAGAATATGAGCTGATATTGAGGGAGGTCCGCGAGTTGTCGTCTCGCATTCCTTTCCCTTTGTGGATCCCCTTATTCGTTTGCTCGTTTTAGGATGTTTAGCAAATCGACTGAGCGTTTAGATATAGACAAAGAGACATGCCTTTAGGATCTCGATTCATGCCTTGAGACGTTAGAGACCAGTGTGTTGGGTTTAGGGCAAGACCTAGGTTTACTTTCGGTGCATGACGGTGCGGAGAGGCTGATCGTTTAGGACTTCGATTGTGTGTGACTGGAAGTAGGGTCGCAGATTACTTGCTGCGGTGATAACTGCTAAGGCCATCTTTTCAAGCGTCGGGTATCGCGTCTCGAGATCTGTCATGCATTTTCTGGTGTAGAATATCGGCTTTTGCTCGCCTTGATTATCCTTGACGAGTACACTGCTGACTGCGATCCCTAGAGGTAGAGTGTGCCCCCGCGTTCAGGTTTAGCCAAAACCGGCGGAGTGGTAAGGTAGGCCTTTAGTTGACTGAAGGCTTCTTCGCATTTCTCATCCCAAGTGAATCGCTTGTTGCCTCGCAATAGCTCGTAAAACGGGAGGCACTTTTCGGTAGATCGGGAGATAAAACGGTTGAGGGCGGCGATTCGCCCTGTCAATCGATGGACCTCTCGACTGTTCTTCGGGCTAGGGAGGTCGAGGATCGCGGAGATCTGTTTGGGATTTTCCTCGATTCCTCGCTGTGTTACAATGTAACCGACTAACTCCCCCGAGGTGACCCCAAAGGTGCACTTCGCGGGGTTTAACTTCATCCCATATTCTTTGAGGGTCTTAAAACATTTGCATAGGTGGGCTGGATGGTCGGCTGCGTGCAGCGACTTGACTAGCATGTCATCGATGTATACTTCCATGGTTTTGCCGAGTTTTTCGGCGAACATTTTGTTGACCAGACGTTGGTACGTCGCACTGACGTTCTTCAGTCCGAAGGGCATGATCTTGTAGCAATATGTCCCTCTGTCGGTAATGAATGTGGTTTTCTCTCGAACATCGGGATGCATCGTGATGTGATTGTACCCATAGAATGCGTCCATGAACGTGAGGAGTTCATTGCCCGATGTTGATTCAACTATATGATCAATGTGTGGGAGAGGAAAGCTATCCTTAGGGCACGCCTTGTTCAGGTCCGTGAAATCGACACAAACGCGCCACTTTCCGTTCTTTTTCTTTATGACAACCGGGTTTGCTAACCACTCGGGATATCTTACCTCGGTAATTGATCCAGCCGCGAGCAGTCGCTCGACTTCTATATTGACGGCTTTTGATCGCTTTGGACCAAGCTTTCGGCGTTTCTGTCGGATGGATTTGAAGGTGGGATCGACGTTGAGCTCGTGAGAGGTGATTTTCAGGTCGATTCCTTTCATGTACAAGGTGGCCCACGCGAAGGTTGATGCGTTTTCCTTGAGAAACGCAATGATTGTTTGCTGCATCTCGTCAGAGATGAAGGCTCATATCCGTACGATCTTGCTGGGATCATTGTCGTCTATCTGGACCTCGAGGACCTCGTCTTTCTGAGGGTATATCTTGTGGATGGGCTTTGCGATGGCGTTGACCCAAGGGATCGGTTGGTGGAGTTTGACATTGGCGACTAGAAGATCGCGTGCAACCTGTTGATTACCTCGTCACGTTTTGATCCAACCATCGTTTCCAGGAAACTTGACAGATTGATGGTACGTGGAGGAAATCACTTTCATCGAGTGGAGCAACGGTGTGCCGAGTATAACGTGGTAGGGTGCGTCGTTCGCGATAACGGAGAACTCTACCATGCGGGTAACCCTGCCAGCGTAGACTGGGAGTCTGATAGTGCTGATCATTTTAAATTCAGGTCATTAATGCTAAAAGGACCAGTAATTGAAAACAACCAGTAAAATTGACAAAAGACTTGTAAAAGCGGTGACCCGAGTCAATTTTAAAATCCGATTCTAAAAAATATCATATAATTAAATTTTTTTAATTAAAATTTAATATTTTATAATCAATTTTACTGTTAAATAGTTTTTCTATTTAATTTTATTTTCTTAAGAAAGAATGTAAATAAATATATTTTTGAATTTTATATATTATTCTTATTTTGAAATATTCATAAAATCTGAGATTTTAGTTTTAAAAATAAATAAATACGATAAGAGAGGACAAAAGATATAGACTTTTTCTTTTCCTTTTAGCTTGACCATGACTCTCCTAGCGAGGAACCAGAACCAACTACTGGTTGCAAGGGTTCAATACCTTAGTTCTGTGGTCCCTAACCAATATATCAGAGATGAACACTCAATCATTTGTTTTTACTAATTTTAATTTCAAATAATATTCACTTTTTTAATATATATATATAATTATATTTATGTTTATTTTTATCTTGTTCGTTAATAAAAGTTAAAAAGGAATTCTTATATGTAAAATTATTTTAAGTCTATAAAATGTAAGTATATGATTATATATATTAAAAAATAAAAAAATAAAAAATGGTTCGATTGTTTGAACCGGTCCAACCAGTAAACCAGTAGTTATACTAAGTCGATGTCAGGTCCGACTTTTAAAATATTTTAGAGAAGATTTCAAGTATAATAAATCTATAGAGATCTTCGCATTACGTGGAATGAACATTATGTATACAGTTTTTTTACATATTATTATTTATTTTTTGGTCATTTATGTATTATTAAATCTATTGAATAATTGGGAAGCGAATAACATACATAAATATAGAATACATATTCTCAAAAGATATAACATACAAAAAAGTTCTGAATACTTATTCTAAATAAGATATAACATAGACAAGATGTACGAATACTACCAAGTTTATAACATAGCATATATGTAAGAGTTCGGTGTTTTATCTACGATATATAACAAAGTAAAAGATATAACACAATTTAATGTTCTTAGAATTTTCTACATTGAGGTAAAAAGTCTATAATATATATATATATATATATATATTTTTTTTTTTTTAATTTTATAAATAACAAACCTTTGGTTAAAATTGAGGCGTGCATATTTATATGGGTTGATTTGATCAATATTTATAAAGAATACTAAAATTAAGAATATAGCCACAATATAGTAGATGTGACAATTAGCACCAAAACTTGATTCTTTTCTCCTTTCACTTGTGTACGCGTGAAGATGAAGAGAGTGACCCATTTGTAGCGTAACACACTTACCTTGATACAATACATAACTGGAAATTTATCGTATGATGTACATGTTTTACAACATAGGTCAAACTATACTATAATATATATGATATAGTATAGGAATCGAAAAAAATAATGAGACCATCAACATAGGTGTATGAGGTTCGAAAATTTACTGCAATGTAATATAAAATACTTGAAAATGTTAGAATGTACTATATGGAAGATGTTGCAATTGATCACGTTGCCTAACTTGCGATAGATTCGTAAATAAAACAATTTCCAGTTTTCAGATTAAAAAATAAAAAATAGCTTTCAACCTTCTACGCACAGGTAAAGGTATTAATGGATTATTTTATAAAATTATACAAAATATCGTAGCCTATATAACTTGTTATGGTTATATACTTTTTTTTTATTTTGCTTTGTTATGTATATTACACCTAGTTTTTCTATTTGACAAATCATACAGAAAAATTTACAATAAAAATTATAAATTTCAAATTAAAAAAAAAGAAAAGAAAATTAAAATAGATACAATTAAATCAAATCTTTGTCTTATTTTAGAAAACACATATTTAAAAATAGAAAATCTAAATAAAGAAACCTTTTATAAATTAATAAAATATTATATTCTCAACATTATTAATTTATAGAATTTTTTACTGTAAATGCAAAAAATACATTTTCATTATGGTTTATTTTGCCAGTTTCCTTACTTTTTTTATGATTATTTTTTTGAATTTGTTTTCTCATGAAATTTAATTTGGAGAAAACAGCTATTGGTCGAACAGACAGTCAGAGAAAAAGAAAGGTAGCATAAAACCCTAACGAGAAATTCCCTTTAAGTCATCTGGAAATGGCGACACAATCTGTCACTGCAGCGGTCTTCGATCTCAATGACGTTCCTAGAGATGTAGACGAAGAAGACGGCGACAACTTGGACTGTTACATCTTCTCCGTCCCTCTCTCCTCCCGTGGTTCCACAAAACGCGAAGCCATCTCCGTCGAGAGTTACGACCGTGATCGTCACCTCAGAATCAAATCCGAATCGCCAATCATCATAGATCTTGACCAATACAATGACGGAGATGATGATGATGATCTCAAAATCCTATGTTTCCCTCCAGTTCACAAATTCCTTGAAAAAGGTGAGTCCTCAAATAGCAATCCCTGCAGACCCTTGACCTTCGATTGTGAGATTTGTGTTGAATCAAAACCAACAGTTGAGTCATTTCAAATCAGTGGATGCCGTCACTCTTACTGCAACGCTTGCGTTTCTAAATACATCGCTGCTAAATTACAAGACAACCTACTTTGCATCGGTTGTCCTGTTTCTGGTTGTTCAGGGCGGCTTGAGCCAGATCAATGTCGTCCAATCCTGCCGCCAGAGGTTTTCGATCGGTGGGGAGACGCTCTTTGCGAGGCGGTGGTGATGCGTTCAAAGAGGTTCTACTGTCCGTACAAGGACTGCTCTGCTCTGGTTTTCTTGGACGAGGGAGAAGATGGCAATTTGAAGGAATCGGAGTGTCCTCATTGCAATAGAATGGTGTGTGTAGCGTGCGGGACGCAGTGGCATCCCGAGATAACCTGCGAGGAATTTCAGAAGCTAGCTGATAACGAAAGAGGAAGAGACGATATTTTGCTGAAGAAAATGGCAGAGTCTCACAAATGGAGAAGATGTCCTTCTTGCAAATTCTACATTGAAAAGTCTCAGGGTTGCTTATACATGAAGTGCAGGTAACTTCTTCTTCTTGTCTTAATAATGCAATATTTTAATGAAAGTTCTCATCTTTCTTATAATTATGCAGGTGTGGGTTAGCTTTTTGCTACAACTGTGGCACACCATCTAGGGACCATTCTCATTATTGTTATAGTTGCAAGCGTTGACGTATTAGATTTTATTATGTATTATATTATGAGTATTATGGATATGGAGTTCTGTTTCGTTCAATTTAGCATTATAACTCTTTGGATCATCATTATTTATATGGAATTATTGGTACCAGTAAGTGCGTGTTCACTTGGGGATGAATAACAATTTGAGCCTGAGGATAGGAATGGAATATATAATATCTTTCTTTCCAGGGTTTGGTTGCACCATATTGACTACTGATGGACAAAGACGCAAAGAAGTTTGGTTAAGAAACTTAATCGAATAATAGCAAGAACAATTTCTGAATGTTGATACTCTTTGCTTTCTGCTATAAACACAGTAACAAAAATTTAGCTTGACCATCTAAACAGGGGTTACGGGTAACACAGACGGTCTAATTGGCTAATGCATCAATTATCTCAAAAAAGGCAGCTTGGAATTGAAAATTAACATATCCTAATCCTTGGATAGATTTATGCAAATAAGTAAGTAAAAAAATATATATATATATATTGCAAGTTGGCTACCACTTTTTTTTTTTAAATACACTTAATTGACATACCTAGTTTAGATATTATTGATTATTGCATACGATTTATTATTTAGAAGATGAGATTAAAGTTGTAAATTATTATATATGTTTTATAAATAATTCTTGAACATTTATAAATAACGTTTTCTTTTTGACATCTAAAAATTATTACATTAGTCAAACAACAAATGATCACGAAAGCTAAAATGGAATAGAATAATTAACAAATAAAAGATGGGAGAATTGCATAAATACATATTATTAAGTATACTAATTAACATTTACTTTAAGGAGGGAAATATTTTCAAAAATATAATTTTCATTAAAGGATAAAATATTCTTATACCCTTTTTGTTTATACATATAAAATAAATATTTAAATAAATAAAAACATACAAAAAAAATATATTTTTTATTTTTTTTGAATTATACTATTTTGAAATTCAAACCCTAAACCCTAAAATATCAATTCTAAAACCTAAGCCCTAAACTCTAAACCATAAACCCTAAACCCTAGACCCTAAATTATAAAATCTAATCCCTAAACCTTAAATTCTATACCCTAAACCCCAAAGTCTAAACCCTAAACCCTAAACCCCTAACCCTAAAATTACAAAACCTAAACCCTAAATTCTAAACCCTAAACCTTAAATTCAAAATCTTTAACCTTAAATTCTAAACCCTAAACCCTAAATTCAAAACCCTAAACTCTAAACCCTAAATTCTAAATTCTTAACCCTTAAACCTAATCGAGTCGCAGCTCGATAACAAAAGACGGAAAAAGATAAGAAAAATTATTTGATTGATTTCGGACGGAACCTTATGAAAGGCTGCCTACGTACCCCTTTCGAGGATCAAGTTGAACGTAGTTCAGTTGATAGAGCTGGACCAGAGATCGAACTGCCTGGGCGAGTTCGTCTAGTAATTGAGCGCCAATCATAGAAACCGAACTTGTCAAGAAAAAACATAAGTTTCTAAGTGCGGAAAATTCTAAGCCTAGAAAGTTGTAAAAGTCTCAGATGAGAGCTCTGAATTTCGTCCTGTTTCTTCTGCCCTATGCCTCTTGCTTATATAATCCCTTACTCGGCGGTTTAGTCTTTCCATTTCGCCTAGATTCGAGTTTATTGGTAATCTTCCATTTATCTCGATCTTTCTTTTTTTCCCGCGGAAATCTTCTATTTATCTTCAAACTTTCCATTTACCTTCAAACTTGACATTTATCTTCCTTCTGCGGGTAAATCGTCAAAACGCTATTGTATCTTCGGGTTTTATTTTGTTAAGATCGCGAGATGGGCTTTTATCACGTTTTTCGGACCTTCCGAGCCATCCGTTTTGCGATAAATCCGTTTTGCGACTTTGTACGAGATCGTTTCCTGATCCGATACCGTTTTTAATAAATTCCTGAGTTAATCATAAAGTTTAGCTATGTTCGTTTTCTTCGGTTAATCGTTGCCATTTTTATGATTCACTCGACGTTTTTTATTAAAAACAAGTTTTTTACGATTCTTACGAAAAATCTCGAATAAATCGTATAGTCTAGGCAATGTTCGGTGTTTCGTTTAACCTTTACCGTTTTATACGATTTCCTCGAGTTCTTTTCGGGAAAACAAAGTTTTACGGTTTTTATGTAAAACTCCGTAAAACTCGAAAGATAGAACGGATTGAGACGAAACGGGAGACATTTCGACCGTGGTTCCGAACATGATCGTGTCGAAGGACGTAAGCCTTGAATCGGGGATGTGGGAGATCGAGGCTCGGGATGGTCGGCTCGACGTATGGCGAGCTACCCGGGAAGCTTCTAGCTCGCCGTTCCCGGGACTAGCTAGCGTTTTACAACGGTTTCGGTTTTTCGCGGTTTTGTGCTTAACTCAGACAATTGTGTAATCGATGTACGTTTCGTTCTTCCGAGATAACGATTTCCGAGTTTTTCCGCGGATTTCTTTTGGATTTTATAAAACGATTTCTCGAGTTTTATAAAATGATTTCTCGAGTTTTATAAAACGAGTTCTCGAGTTTTATAAAACGAGTTCTCGAGTTTTATAAAACGATTTCTCGAGTTTTATAAAACGATTTCTCGTGTTTTATAAAACGACTTCTCGAGTTCTATAAAACGACTTCTCGATTTTTATAAAACAATTTCTCGAGTTTTCTAAAATGATTTCTCGATTTTTATAAAACGTATTTTTATTTTTACTTTTGCGGAGACTTTTAGCCATTGATTCCGTCGTGACCGATTTTGACACGAACAGTTAGCCCCCAGCTCGCTAGCATCTTGAGCTTCTAGTGTAAGGTTCTTGCGAGTGGTTAGCAAGTTTTAGTTAAGTTAGGCGGAATTAATGGTGTGAAATATCCGTTGAGAGTGATCTTTCCATTCTCCAGGAAGCGGAAAGCATTTAAGATTAGGACTGCGCCTTGTGAAGGCTGCCTACACACCCTATTAAAGGGATCAAGCCTTTCGTAGTTCGTTTTGGAGTTAAGGTTCGTATGACCTGTTTCCTAGCAAGACCTTTACGGTCTAGTTATATGTCGTGTAGCATATTGATGTCGATGGCATCTTGTATTGGACCTTTTCCGGCCTTGAGACTAGCCTCGTAGGCCGTTTGGTCTGGCAGAGCGTGGCCGTTATAGTTTTCGGACTGGCCGTGTGCGGCTCTGAGTCCCTGCCGCTTTTGTGGCTTTATTAAAAATCAGTTTGCGTTTTTAAGAGCGTGTTTTAATTCGTACGAATGTAGAGGGAAGAATATGAGTTGATATTTAGGGAGGTCCGCGAGTTGTCGTCTTGCATTCCTTTCCCTTTGTGGATCGCCTTATTCGTTTGCTCGTTTTAGAATGTTTAGCAAATCGAGTGAACGTTTAGATATAGACGAAGAGAAATGCCTTTAGGATCTCGATTCATGCCTTGAGACGTTAGAGACCAGTGTGCTGGGTTTAGGGAAAGACCTAGGTTTACTTTCGGATTGAGGCTGTGCGATGTCTAGTCAGCTTTCGTTTTGCCTGTTGTGATTTTAACCTGATTCCATGAATCCGCGATAGGTTTTCGGCTTATATGATTCGTCTGGTTGGAACCGAGCATCTCATCGGGAAAAATTTCTAAGTTACCCGGAAGTGCTGATCAAAAGTTTGGATTTCTTTTATAGCGCTATTACCCTTGTGTCGGGTGTTCGAGAGCTATCTCTGCGAGATAACTTAAGTTTGTTTAGGACTGTTGCAAGTTTGTTGTGATCAGCAACAAACTTTTTAGGTGATAGCTGTTTACGTTGTTTTCGCCATAGCGAAGGATACGTACGTTAAGAAGTTTTGCGTATTTTTATAGTCGCGGATGGACTGTTAGGTCTTCCAAGAAAATGACTTTATCGAGGAAGGTATTTGTATCGAAAAACTAGTCTCCAGGCGTCTACGACGTCTCGCAGTGCCGAAAGCTGGTTTTTATTTTATATGTCGCGTTTCGTGGTGTTGCGGGGTTTTTTTCTTAACCCTGGTTTGCAGCAACACTTTGGTTTGTTCGCGGATATTCGCAATTAAAACTTACATTCCTGTTTGGATGTTAAGTAGTTTTATGATTTGTGCTAGAGCAATTAGGACCGAGAGGTCGCGTAAGTTGTTCCCCGAAACGAAGTGTTTTTCGTTACGGTGCTTTGTGAAGTATTGACCCTCCGAGATTCGTACGGCTTCACGAGCTCTGTTACGAGCTTTTTCTTACACGTCGGATTTTGTAGGCAACTTGCTTTGGAAATAGTGTGAATCGTGAGAATACAGAACTTAGCCGATTTTCGACAATTTTGCATTATCCGTTGAATGTATTGGCTCGGCGGGAAGGTTGTATTCGGCTGCAAAGCCAAGGTCGTATTTGGTAGAGGATTAGACCACGACACTTTAGTGCTACCGATAAGGTTGAGTCGGTTTGTAAACTTGGCATTGAAGTGAAGCGTGATCGGACAATAGCCACGTAGCGTTTGTCGAGCTTGATATGCCAAGTATGCCCGTGGTTACATAAAACATTTTTCCGTTGTAGGTTTGATTGATATGACGAAAGTTTTGTATATAATTTCCTTTGTATGGAAGTTGTTTCTTTTTTTTTACTCGAGGGAGACAGAGCCTAAGAAGCTCGATGCAGAGCTCGTGCAGAGTCGCTTGCGGGGCGGTTTCATTCCGGGATGTAATCGGGAGGAATGAGAGTGGATGCTCGTGAACCGAAGGGCTAAAGAGTGAGATCTTTCAGATCGTGGGGCGAGGAAGCAGAGTTGGGATACTCGAGCTGGAGGCACTTGAGATGCTCGAGCTGGAGGCACTTGAGATGGTGGACGTGGGTTGATATTTTCAATCGATTGAGTTTGTAGCTGTTGAGGCTGTTGAGGTTTAGACGTACTACCAACAGCTGGAGTGAGAGGAGACTGAGCGAAGGTCGTCGGAAACAGATTCCTCGGAGGTGGATAATTGCGAACAGAGGGGAGATTATTTCTCCTAGGAAGAACCTGTGGGATG